AATGGTTTTATTTATGGTTAATGGCCATAGAAGTCTTAAGATATATTAGCCATATTCATATATTTATTTACTCCCTTACTCCCTTGTTGCTAAATCTTGAGATCAAGTTATCTTTTTTTTTTGTATTTGTGTTCGTGTGTCACGTCGGTTAGTTATATCATCTCGTGTATTTGTTTAGATGTATTTTCTTCAGAATAAACTATTGAGTTATTACATTCTTCATTTTTCCCTTTATTTTGTGCATGTTACTGAATCCAAAATACACTGCAGAACATTTATTATAAATGTTGGAAACATGTGCTGCTTAATATTTTTGTGGAAACAAAATCAGGATTTTTTTTAATGAATCAAATTCAAAAGAACAGCATTTATTGAAGAACGTAATTTTTATTTGTAACAGTGCAGAAGTCTTTACTGTGAAGACATAAACCTATATCAGTTTAATGAATCAGTTTTGCTAAATAAAAGTATTAATTTCTTTTAAAATAATCTTACTGCCCCCAAACGTTTGAACAGTAGTTAATTTCGGACTCATGGCAATCATGCATGACACTAACAATATGATAATAACTAAAAAATAAATAAGCATAATTAAAGTTGGTTCACTCAAGTTTTTGGATTCAGTTGAGACTTTGAGAACCATCTCAGAATGAACAACAAGAACAAGGAATGGCATAATATTTCTGTTATAATCGCTCACTAATGATGTATCTCAAGCAAATGTGAAGACCAGCATATATTGTAGTCACATCTGTAAGTCAAAATGTTTTATTTCACCCTGCTTGGGAGATGCAGGAGGATTCTTGCATTGTTGGGGGAACCAAGACAGGCAATAAAACACCAGTCATCTCAGTAACGGCTGCTTAATACAATTTATTTCATTTTAAATAATACTTAAATAGCATCACAAATGTACTCAAATACAAAACATCTGAAACAAATTTTGAAGGGTGCATAAAGGAAACACAACGTGGAGAAATACAAGCACAAGGTCACAGTATGTGTTTACTAGCACTGCAGAAATCTCCTTCAAAGAAGCTGAAGTACAGACGTCTGCAGAGAGCACACTGATGCTAAAGTCAACAGAAGAGATTGTGAACTTCAATATAATCTTCATTCAACAGGGCTCTCGATTATTTAGTCAGTGATATACTATTCGTAAATATAACATACCATAAGGCAGAAACTTAAAGGTAAAGTATATATGAGTGAATCTGAGTGAAAAACAATTATTTTACATAAAGAAAATTATGTATATTTTAGGCCCATTTCAGTTTTTCATACTGTGACACTGTCAGGACATTTAAACACATTTCCCTCCAAATTCCCATTTCAAGAAAAGCATTCAGGGGTTTTACTTTTGAGTTTTTTTTATTTTTTAAGTATACTTTTTTTTAAAGGGGTCCTATTATGCTTTTTCACTTTTTTAATTTTAGTCAGTGTGTAGTGTGTATGTTTGGGCATAAAAAAGATCTAGAAAGTTACAAATCTCAAAGTCCACTCCAAAGGGAGATATTTCGTTTAAAAAAAATCCCTTTTCAAGAACTACAACGAACGGCACAATCATAGAAAATAAAGTATTTGAATTTTAAAGACATGGCATGGATTTAAAGACTCGTCCGGTGCGCGACCGCCTGAAACGCTGTTTTTTTTCACCTCCGTGCCCAAACGTCTTTGTTTGGGCTTCCGAAAGCGGATGATGTCAGGAAACAGTGGTTGCAATTTATTTTTTAACTCTGTTCCTGAGCATTATAACCCCAATTTGCTATTGTGTGCTGCGCATTTTACTGAGGACAGCTTCCACAACATGAGGGAGTACAGTGCCGGATTCGCCCAAAAGCTTTTGTTGAAAGACGGAGCAAGGGGCGTGGCAGTACTGAAACACCGTCTAAGCTGTTCGCCAATCACAACGCACTGGGACAGCTAACCAATCACAACACATTTTGTTTTTCGGAAGGCGGACCTTCATCAAAGCCGGAACTAATCGAGCCGTTTGTGCCAGGATGGGGAGAAAGGTATTTTAATAATGTAAATAATGTGTAAAATAATGTGTTTTTCGAAGCACCAAGCATGAGAGCATGTTCTAGTACACCCCCACAACAAAATCAAGACTTTGTAAAAGAGCATAATAGGACCCCTTTAATACATTCTCATTGTTGTAATAGTTATTTTTACTAATACAATCTTTTAAGTTTTCATAAATGAATGGCAGTTTTTTTTGTTTTTGCGAGACATTTGGGGGTTCTTGAAAATTAATTGTCATGAAAATGTCAATCTAAAAGGTCATAAAAATAAGCTAAATTTTTTTTAATGCAAAATGCATTTTTTATTTATTTTGAAATATGACCCCAAAACATTTGCTTTCTAGGTGAGATTTAACCATGTTGACAGATTCACAACATATTTCAGTGCACACACCATATATGACTCACTGCAACCTGTGTTACATGCTACTGTTTATATCTTTACTGATAAGATTTGAGAATATAGAGTGTAAACAACTGACGTTTTGCTATTTGGCAAACCCACACCGATCTGAAATGACCACCGGGCTTGACGGGCATCAAGGTCTTGGAATGGTACTGTGCATAAAACGGCAAAATCATAAAAAATAAAAAAAAAACTTGAAAATGTTTACATAGAAAAGAATATTTCTCATACTCCTGTGCTTCTGATAACATTCAGTACAAACTCGTTTTCTTCATGATGCGAAGAAATTCCTGCTGGTTAACTTCTCCATCACCGTCTCTGTCTGCTTCATCAATCATTTCCTAAAGACATGCATGAAACATTAATGTGATGTTTAAAAGAGAAATCCATCATCTATCACACAGATCACGGTTGGGTTTTTGTGATTATTCTTGCACCTGCAGCTCCTCGTCTGTGAGGTTTTCCCCGAGCTCTTTAGCCACTCTCTTTAGATTCCGGAAAGATATTTTTCCGGTCTCGTCATCGTCGAACAGCCGAAAAGCTTTAAGAATTTCTTCCTTGGAGTCCTTTTCAACCTTAAGATTTCCAAACAACAATAATAAAATGTCCTACCTGGCTGGAATAACTAGAATTTTTTTAATTGAAAATTCTTACCATTTTTTGAGTCATCACGGTCAGAAAATCACTGAAAGAGATCTTTCCAGTAGCATCCTTATCAACCTCTCCAGTCATTTTCTTGATTTCCTCCTTCTTAGGCTCAAACCCCAGCGCTCTCATGGCCACCTGCAGCACAATTCTTCATTATGTGCAGAAAGCTTGACATATACAGATACAGCGGAGTCCAGCGGTCTAATGCACGAGTCAAAATGATTCGGCTTTGCATTCGTTCCAGTAGGCCATACATTGTCCTTCAACATTTTTCAAAATCCTAAAACGTTCCAAGTTTAAAAGACAATCATCATGAAGATTTTATTGGATGTTTGGGTCCCTCTGTATAGAGATCTACTACTAAAATATTGACCTTTTTCATGATATTCGAATTTTTTGAGATGTACCTGTATATGGCCGTACACTGCTCGTGGCAGCTGTGTTCATGGCATTATATCTCACCTTTAACTCCTTCACCTCAATATAACCAGAGCCATCCGTGTCAAAGAGCTCAAACGCCTCTCGGATCTCCTGCCTTTGCTCCTCTGTCAGCTCAGGCTTTAGACTGGCTTTTTTACGAGGGGCTACTGCCCCCAGTGAGGGTCTTTTGGGACTAGTGGCCTGTGTTGTATAGAATAGAATAGAATAGAAGCTTTATTAAAACAGGACCAGACCTGTGCAGTGTACATCACAATTATGAATACAAGACATAATGTAAACATATATTAGACAGTGCACGTAATATATAATTCAAGCTGGAATAATATTGTTAGGGTAAAGAAATGGAGAATAAGTAATTAAATAACACTAGCATTCAATTAGCCGTGGTTGTAAATTCACTCCTAAATGCCCTGCTGACTATTCCCTCTGTATTTATGAAAGACCAGTAGCAATAACACATATGTTACACAAACCTGAAGGAATTTTAAATTGAATGACAATTAAACGGTCGCTTAAATCGAGTGACGGCATTTTTACTAATCGCAAAAATATACAAAAAAGCATAGATCGCGACATTGTTGCATTCGTCGTGACTCACCATCTTTACCCGGAGAAGACCAGCAAGTGGAGAATAATATAAACCTGGCTATGGCTTGGCTTGGCTTATGAATATTAATTACGTTTCATGACGTTCGGTCAGTAGACCAAAGTGATTGGCTGAAAGGAGACGTCGGCGGAAACCTTGGCTCATGAATAATAATTACATCACGCTCCCGGAAGCAGCTTCCGCACAACCTAATTTATCAAGTCTATTCGCCATAGTAAGATTCGTAATTTCGTACAAAACAAAAGCATCTTTCCCCGATTTGAACGCTTCTTTAAACAACAAACTGTCAGGATAAAGTAGTATCCAATTCACGTCTATTTTATCCCAGAACGTGGGGCTTTATAAAGTTAACCTATGCTTTTTTTTAAAATAGGTAAACCTGTATTACAACATACACACACCCATCTTTTACCGCATCCATTTGTGATTGGCTGTGTTTGGTTACTGCTCATGATAATTATAGTTACACAGACAGCAGATGATCATGATTTCGCAATACCATACTACCACATTATTCTGTTTTATATTCACATAGCAGAAATAGTAAGAGTAGCACGATTTTAGAATTCAGCCAATCATTTTCTATGAAACTGACATATTTAAATGAGAATTGGTTGTTTCACGAACCTTCTGAACCTTTTGTTATTGGTGTTTTATTATTTGTATATCTCATAATGGTATACCTTAAACTTTTAAATAATATCCTAAATAATAAACTATAATATAATCACACGTAGGGGCGTATTTGGTGATGTCATGGGGAGGGGACTATCTTGGTGACTTTTTACTGATTGGCTGGCGCAGTGGCGCTCTTTGACGTTGCCCTTCTCTCATTGGTTAGACTCATTGTCAGGTTGATGCCTGATTGTTGACTGGACCAATCAGAGGGTTCTCCGCTCTCTGCCCATATGGCTCTTCGTGCTTCCTTCGTAATCGTTACAGCTGTGTCTTTTAGTTTGAGATACACAGGTGAGTGCTGCTTAACTGAACTTTTACAGAAAAAATAAGTATTTATATATTGTGCTTCGGGAGCGTAACTAGAACGTAAGTTTGGTTTCAGTGAACAGTTCTGTCAGAGTTAAAACCAAACCTAAAATCGTAGAAAATGTGCAGTAAATGGTTCAAAGGTCAACCAACCCGCGTGTCACATAGTTTTTAAGAAGTGTAATTAAACAGATGGATATTGTTTATTAATTCGCAGACTGCTGTCGGGAGCTGAGAGAGAGATCCACACATGGCAACTCGCACGAGACCAGTGAGTATTTACACCTGAAGCACCTTTGCACTATTATTGCCTGTTATGATTCTGTCAGATTTGAGTAGCGCACATGCGCAGTATTGTATGTTTAGGATATTATCATTATAACATATTAATATGAACTTACTGTTTCCATACTGTGCATTTATATGCATGCACACTGGTCACAATGCACAATGATCATCATACGTTCCATTCACTTTTATATATAATCTATTTTATTGTCATTTGTGGATGTTTGTATTTTTCTGCCCCATGTTAAAAGCTCTACATGTTTGTAGATATTTGACATGTTCTTCTGCCAGGCAGGGGACAAATGACAATGAATTCAGCTTGTCTTGATATTGTGATATTGTGCAGAGCAGCAAGCGTTGTGCTGTCATCGGAGGATCTGGATTTTTGGGCAGGCACCTCCTGGAGCGTCTAGTGGACCGAGGATACACAGTGAATGTGTTTGATATCAGACAGGCCTATGAGCTCCCAGGAGTGACGTTTCACCGAGGGGACTTGTGTGACAGACAGGTGGGGATTGTTGGGTTTTGATCTGGCAGAATCAGTCTGACACGGTCTTCACCCTTCCTCGCTGTCCTCCTGATGTCTTGTTTAGGCCTTGCTGGTGGCTTTGAAAGAAGTGTCTATAGTGTTTCACTGTGCTTCACCTGCTCCAGCCAGCGATGACCGCGCTCTGTTTCAGAGGGTTAATATTGACGGGACACGGACTGTCATACAGGCCTGTCATGAGGCAGGAGTACAGGTATGTATTATATATCGTGTGCCAGCTGATGGTAAAAATAAATGTAATGTACACTACCGTTTAAAGTCAGTGATAATGCATCAAGGATGCATTAAATCTATCAAAACATTACGCAGCACAACTGTTTCCATCATTGATAATAATCAGAAGTGTTTCTTAAGGAGCAAATCAGTGTATTAGAATGATTTCTGAAGGATCATGTGACACTGAAGACTGGAGTAAAAAATTGTATGAAATTGTACTAATATTTTCACAATATTACTGTTTTACTGATCAAATAAAAGTAACCGTGGTGAGCATGAGAGGAAAAAAAATTAATAATTAGAAAAAATCTTACAGACCCCAATTGTAAAGTATATGACTCACTCTATACATCAAACATTATTATTATTAAATATATATATTTTTAATGGTTTTGCAGTATAAGCCCCATCATACTAAGGTGTGTTCAGACATTCATTTGGTACATTCAACACTGTTACAATTTTCTACAATATTCAGCAGGAGGTTTCTGCTTCATCTCTGTCCGACAATGGATTTAAATTGGTAATCGAGAGCATTATTTAATCCAGAATATTCCTTTAAATTATGTCGTTGACATTCGTGATGTTTTTGCAGAAACTAATACTGACCAGCAGCGCTAGTGTGGTGTTTGAAGGAACCGACATCAAGAATGGGAGAGAGGATCTGCCTTATGCAAAAAAGCCAATTGATTATTATACAGAGACCAAAATTCAACAGGAAAAGGTGGGTATGAATCATATCAATGGCATTTCATCTCCCTATAACATTACTCCTGAACGTCAGCTCTCTTCTGAAATCAATCAAATGTACTAAATAGTTAATGAGTTGATGTGCTAATGTACTCCATGTCGATCATCTTTTTCTTTCTTTTTCAATCTGCTTCTGTCTGTTCAGTTGGTGCTGGAGGCCTGCAGTAAAGAGAAGGGTTTCCTCACTGTCGCTATTCGTCCTCATGGCATCTTTGGCCCCCGGGACCCTCAGTTAGTGCCCATCCTGATAGATGCAGCCCGCAGAGGAAAGATGAAGTTCATCATCGGGTGAGCGACATTAAAACAGTGTTGCAGAGAGCCCACAACTCCACTAGGTGGCAGACTGCTGTCTAGAATATGATCTTGACTATCAGCAATCGTTCTGACATGAAATGCTCTGCTATATATATATCAGTAAAGAATATTGCTTTCAGAGCAGAAAGTGACAAAATAGGAAGACCAGAGATCATTGCACCAGTACCCAAATCGAACCATTATTACCTAGATTTGTTTACTTGGTGATATTGCAAAGCAGACCAGTTTGTGTTCAGTCCAGTCAAGATCGGTCCACACTGCACACTTCCTCTGGATAGCACATTTTTGAGTGTTTGGGCTCCTAAATATGACAGTCTTTGATACAACAAGGAAGAATATCTGTAAGAGGTAGTTCACTAAGGACATTTTTAAAACAGACACTTAACAACAAAAAACTTCTAGAAGATATCCTTCTCTCTGGCTTATTGCTCGCTTGACTGTGCAGCAGTGGTGGCATGTGTGCTTACTCTGACGGAAATGCTCCGTCATACTGCCTTCTGTACTGTGTACAGTGTGCAGTGTTTTGGAAAATGTGAATCTGGCAGTGCCCCGTATCCGACCACATATTGTGATGGAAATGGCATTGTTTTGGCCCGTATGAGTTTGGTTGATGCCGATACCAATAGAGAGCACGGGTGGCAGTACAATTAAAGCAGTATACACCTGTAAGCTGAAGTTCACTTTTTTACACAATATTTCAGTTATTTTATTTATTTATCTCACTACAAATATTTGAAACATACCTTGAATTAGCCATTGGCAGTACTGTTGGTAAACTGTCCGGCTGACTCGAGGGAGAGTTTACCCTTCTGTTCATCGACCACAATAAGCTCAACATGATCAAGGCTTCCTACCAACAAAAGTCTAGACTTACTTAGGCTGCATTTACACTAGTCTTAAAGGTCCCCTGAAATGCTTAGAAACACGCATTTGTTGTGTCATTTTAGCTGAAACAGGAAGACGGGGCGAGACATATCAAGCAGCCCCGCCCCTTTTTAAAATAGCCAATAGCATTCGTTTATATCACAGCTTGGGCTAGAGCCGTTGAGCTCCGTAAAGCTGCATTTGACAGGGTATGCCAGCGACAATCTCATCCATGTTGCTATAAAATATAGCATTCTGTGTAGAATTCAAATAGCTCCGATACATTTTGTGGTCTGCGGCGACTCGCGCATAGCTGTCAAGGATGTTTTGCAGCACAAAATCTGACTTAACAGATAAATAACGGAAAATAACAGTAATTTTAAATTTGTTAGGCTAATTTATCTACAGCTCGTTAGAGGTGCACTGTAAAAAATGATTGTGATTTTAACAGTAAAAGACTGTAAAAATGCTACAGCGCCAAGATGATATTTATTGTAATGAATTCGAAATAATTAACGAGAGAGAGAGAGAAAACGCACAAGCCAGTGTGAAGCTTGCGAAAATTGAAGCTTGTTGGTTTAATTACAAAAACTGCTAAGTTATCACCTCATTGCTGAGAAATATGATGTAGCTTTTAGCTGTTGTATTTATAAAATTCACGGAGCAGGGGTTGAAAACCAGCTCCTGAATGTGCAATTTTTTAAAGTTTCCATCTTAATAAAATGCGAGCGCATACAGCACACCGGCATTAAAACACAATCTTTATGAGCAAACGTGTCGCATTGGGAGTTCTGCGAGGAATCGGATTCAATTCAAGTTTATTTGTATAGCGCTTTTTACGATACAAATCGTTGCAAAGCAACTTTACAGAAAATTACGTTTCTACAATATTTAGTATCGGATATTTCTGTTTAGAGGTAGGTCGGATATGTATCTGATTTAAAACCACATTTGGAAGTGGCTCAGATCGGATGCGAAAACATCAGATATTGTGCAGATTTTTGTGTTTACACATGTGCAACAAATTCTGATCTGTGTCAGATGTGAGCAAAAAATCAGATTTTTTGGTGCCAGTGTAAATGCAGCCTAGTCTACTTGGGTTAAACACACTAGCTGATTAAGGTCTTCGGGATCACTAGAAACTGTGTTGGAGGTAAACTCTGCAGGAAAGTGGCTGTCCAGGAGCAGGATTGGACTCATTCAAAACCTGATGATCATGTTCTGCTGCATGATTTAAAAATGATCCAAAAAGCATCTTGTGCTTCAGTGAAAGCAAGAAAATTTGACCATCTTTACAAATTAGTTCTTTTTTTTTTATCAGTGATCTGGTGCAGAATTTTAAATCCGTTTTATTAATTTTACGTCATTGATTGTTTGTTTTAAATTTCTGTTGTATGTCCTACTTTACATTAGATATTGAATCTCAAAGTTTCGGCGTGGTCTTCGATGTTTGCACCCCGCTGGATGTCGATGTGATGGACATAATGTGATCAGTAAATGAATCCCGTACGGTCTAATGCTGATTTGCTCTTTAGAGATGGATCCAATCTTGTGGACTTCACCTATGTGGAGAATGTAGTCCATGGGCATATTTTAGCAGCTGAACACCTGAAGGCTGATTCTCCGCTCTGCGGTCAGGTAAGGAATGTGTGTGAAAGAGAATGTGAGAGACTGAAAGAGTGAGAGATGTTTCTAGACGTGCATTCATAGATCTAATCCCACGTGTGTGTGTGTGTGTGTGTAATGTATAAACAACGCACATGAATGATGCATCAGGCTTTGCCTTTCCATTTCCAGGAAACCCATTAATAACAAAAGCACTCTCAAATCTCTCATAGGGGTTTTCAGTCATTCATTAAATGCAGCAATGGTCAAAAAAGCTTACAATATGCAGTTTTTATACAGATCTTGAGAGACCTTGAATTTTGTCATGTAATTGTTCAGTCTCTGAAAACTGTTAAATTACCTAAATGCTCTAAAAAAAAATAGAAAGTGTTTTAGTGTGATGCTAAAAATAATAAAGCTGGCTGACTGTGTTAGTTTTTTGTAAGATGTCCTGTAGCCAATAGGAGCTTGGCAGAGTTGGGTTAGTGTTTTTTTGTTTTTTTTCCATCTAAGCTAGCCAAAACTAGCGGTTACATTAACTAACTGTAACTAGCCAATAGGAATGTATCATCAGAATTTTGTAGTAACCCAAATTGACGAGCTAAATAACTGCTAATAGTATGTTTCATTATCATAAATGTACTTTTACCTGTGTGGCCTTACCTATTGCATGTAATATAAGATGCTAATTTGTCATGAGAGAGGCTACCATGCATTGAGGACTGTATCAGTAACAACAAACCCCAGTAGCTAAACCCATTAAGTAATGGTTAATTGAACATTACTGAAAAAATGCTGCCGCACAGCCTTGCCAGCAATCATGACATAGCAACACATTTGAAAATGTTTAAAAAATGTTTAAAACCCTCACATAATCTATTTATCTGTGGCTAATGTATTTCAAATGGTACTGTTGAACTTCCATTGAACCTTTGTCAAAAATTAACATTTTGCCACCAGTGTTGGGGAAAGTTACTTTTAAAAGTAATGCATTACAATGTTGTGTTACTTTTTATGGAAAGTAATGCATTACGTTACTTTTTGTCACCTGGGCTGGGCTTGCTTATTTGTAGTGTTTTTTTAAATTACAAAAAACCCAAAAGTTATATTTTTGGCAACTGTAAAGGCCCTTTCACACCTAAAGTGAAATTAATAAGCCTCAGCCTGAAAGAACTCCCAATTTCTCTCAACACGGGGACAGAAGAGGTGATTTCTTTGCATTACATATTTGAAAAAGTAACTCAGATATTTGTAAATTTAAAAGTAGTGTTACCTTACTAGTTATTTGAAAAATGTAATCTGATTACGAAGCTCGCGTTACCCCCAACACTGTTTGCCACTACTGGGAAACGGCTCTTTGGCAAACCTTTATGTTGTATTTAATCATATGAAATTCAAGATGAGCATTTAATACAAAGCCTTGAATAAGTGGAGTTTGCATTTTTCCATATGAAAACAAATAAGAAAATTTAGTTTAAAGGGGTCATATGATGTTGCTAAAAAGAACATTAT